CTAGATAGATAGATAGATAGATAGATAGATAGATAGATAGATATATGTAAGAGAATAAAAATGTGAAATATTTAAAAACGACTAAAGACCGTTAGTTTAAGCCGTGTAAAATGTCACGCACTGACCTTAGAATATTGTATTTAACTGAAAAAATGCATAAAAACGAGTGAATAACAATTGTGAGTGATTTTTATGTCTTGTTCTCCACAGTTGAAAAATCACCTGCGCTTCCACAAAGTTGTGAATTTCGAACGCTTTTTGATTCTATAGAAATAAATGCAGATGCGCCCTACTGTTGTTATCCATGATAGATATAAGATCAATAAAACGGATGAAACATTTCAGATGCCGTCTTATTCGGCTTGTTTGTTGATGAATCTATTAGAGAGAGAAAAGAAATAAACAGACCTAGAAAAGAAAGAAAGAAAGAAAGAAAGAAAGAAAGAAAGAAAGAAAGAAAGAAAGAAAAAAAGAAAGGGATAGTGAGAGTGTGATAAAAAAATTAAAAAGCAAGAAAAAAGAGATAGTGAGAGAGATAGAGAGTTGAAAAAGATTTCTAAAGAAAGAAAGAAGTTTGAGAAAGAAAGAAAGAAAGAAAGAAAGAAAGAAAGAAAGAAATAAAGGAAGGAAGGGATAGTGAGAGTTTGGTAGAAAAAAATTAAAAAGAAAGAAAGAAAAAAGAGATAGTGATTGAGATAGAGTTGAATAGAAAAAGATTTAGAAAGAAAGAAAGAAGACTGAGATAGATAGATAGATAGATAGATAGATAGATAGATAGATAGATAGATAGATAGAAAGAAAGAAAGAAAGAAAGAAAGAAAGAAAGAAAGAAAAAGGGATAGTGAGAGAGATAGAGAGTTGAATAAAAAAAGATTTAAAAAGAAAGAACGAAAGAAATAGACAGACACAGAGAGAAAGAAAGAAGACTGAGATAGATAGATAGATAGATAGATAGATAGATAGATAGATAGATAGATAAAAGAAACAGGCAGGCAACATTGGTAGGTACGGAAGTAGAAAAAACTGAAGACATACAGAATTGATGATAATTGATCAAGACTTCCTGCTTTTCAAGTCAAACAAATTCTTCCATTTGAATTTTCTAATAAATCTCTCTTGAAAGCTGACCAATGAAAAATCTGTCGTGTGAGTCCTCTAGTGATGTAACTCCTCCGATTGTAATCGGTTTGCCTTTTGCGTGCGAAAAGCGAACGACCAAAGCTCACGGTGCACCCCAGAGATTTTAACTTCAAAAGATCTGTCGGCATGGCTTCCACAAGACATAAATATCCTCAGAGAAGTTCGACAGCGAAGAAGCCGCCCCACAATACTAGCAGTGTGTGACCTCGCTGACATTGTCAGAATTAATTTTGATGCTGTGTGAAAAATAGGTTATGGTTCATAAATCATCCTGTGTGTGTGTGTGTGTGTGTGTGTGTGTGTGTGTGTGTGTGTGTGTGTGTGTGTGTGTTGGTGGGTATGAAAAATGGATGTCGATCATTTCCTACTGTAAAAAAGACATTTTATTACGCTTTTCTGGAAGCAAAGACCAACTAAGGAAGATGTGAAAGGCGACATTAAAATAGTTATTCCTTTGATTTCATCCTTAACTTTTCGACTTGTCTTCTGAGATCGTGACCATTTTTATTTTGTCTCAGCCCAAAAGACCATTCACTCTCCTTGAGCGTTTTAAAACGAAATAAATCCGACTTCAGCCATTGTCACCGTCGCTCTCTGACAAGTTAAAGAACAGCATTTCATTTGAGCTCCCATAATGTGTCCACTTTTATTTGATTTGTGACCTAACAAATCATCAGACGATAGAAAAACACGGATTATAACTCAATCTAATGATGCAAAAGAACGCCTCAAGTAAAATCTCGTGATGAACAAGATAATGTTCTCCAAGACTTTAGAGTTCTGCCTTTCTTTCTATTTCCAAATTGTAAGTCCGCTTGTTTAGCCAAGCTAATTTTGCAACAACGAAGATTAATTGAAGTAAGTATATCGTGGGCGAAAAAGGTTACAGAACCGCTTCCAGGTAGAAGGAATATTTGGCTGAAGCCCAAACGTTTGTATAGGATCAATCCTGACCAGAGATTTAGACAGAAGTAGATTATTTTGTTTTTGTTTTATGTTTGTATTTTTATTGCATCTTCTGGGGTTTTTTTTTCTTTTGTTTTTGTTACACTGATTTCCATTATTATTGATTCGATGACATCGGATTGTAACTGTTTTTTTTTTGTTTTTGTTTTTTTCTGGCGGGTTTGTTTCGTCTTTTTTTTATTCCTTGGTGTGCTTATAACTTTTTGTGCTATTTTTCGTGCCAATTATCTCTTTTACCATTTTTACCTCCGCCCCTCTCTTTCTCACTCTCTCTCCTCTTTCTCTTTCTCTCCCTGTGTAACATCTTTGTCCTCTCTCTCTCTTTTCCCAATCTCTCTTTATCTCTTTCACTCTCTCTACACTAAAAGACTAAGTAAATAAACCAACCTGCACAAGTAATATTCTAATCATAAATGTAGCGAATTATTTTCCCTCTCTCTCTCTCTCTCTCTCTCTCTCTTCCGCCCCACCTCTTTTCCTTCTCCCTCTCTCTCTCCCTCTCTATCTGTCTGTCTGTCTGTCTCTCTCTCTCTCTCTCTCTCTATATATATATATATATATATATATATATATCATCTATCTCACTCTCTCCTTCTCTAGTCCCTATCTCTTTGTATTTTTCTCCCATTCTCTTTCTATCTCTCTCACGCTTTTTCTATTTCTCTATCTCTCGTACCATCTATCTCACCCTCTCTCGAACTCTACTTGAAATATATGATTTCTTCAAGACGTAGATGGCCATGGCTCACCACAAGTTCCTATCTCCATGTGGCCCTTAGCAACGTTTCTCCCAATGACACAAGCCCATCAAGTAGGTGGACCACTGCCTTCCCCTATTTCTTTTGCCATCAATATGCCCCGTGAGCGTTGTTTTTTTCTAAGCCCGTTTTCCTCATTATGCCCAAGAAAATTCAGCTGCCTCTTTCTGATTCTGAGGACAAGTGTTTCTGTTTGTTACCATTTTCTTTAAAACTTCCTCGTTGCTTATTCGCTCCGACCATGGAATTCTCAGCATCCTTCTGTAGAACCACATTTCTGTTGTCCCCAGTTTTCACTTTATCTGTGGGGAGATTGTCCAGCATTCAGTGCCATCTAAGATGATTGATGTCACATAGCAATTCAACGCTCTTTTCTTTTGTACCTAACAAAATTTACCTATTTCTTAGTACTTCTCGTTGTTTAACTTTTAGAATAAAACTTTCGATGCCTTCAGATTCCGGTGTCGCATTTTTCATCCCCTGTTTAGAGTAATAAGAATTGAAAAAAAAAATTCAGGTCAATCCTTTGAGCCCTGACTACCGCTTAACCGGTGGTAGAGAAAAATGACGTAATGCCCAGCCCCCGGTTGAACGGTGGGTAAACTCTTGTAACTATTTTTATATCTACCGTGAAAGATTACATACCAATTATTTGTGATTTTTGGTTCAGGAGCTCAGGGGGAAGGGTTAAAATTGTTCAGGAACGCATGGCTGAAAGGGTTAAAGCATCTTTTGACACGCAGTCAGGGAGATGTTAAGACTAGCGTAACTGATGTCTGTTGGCTTCAGTAGCGACATTATACAGCAAAGTTAAGTCCATACAACAACATTCGTACGCGAAAAATATAAAATTGTTATAGTTTCATAACTAGTTCTATACTCATCGTTGTCGTGAAGCTGAAAAATCGTAAAACAAGGAACGTCTGTATTATTGTCAGGGCCACATACTATCCCTGAACCCCACGACCCGGGATCAAGTCTAATTGGGGTCCCGAATAGTCCTTGTGACGCTTTGCTATCTTATCAACATTTGGTTTTTTGGTTTTTCTACCTAGATTTATATACGTTACAAATTAAGCTAAACAGAACTGACTATTAAACGATGAAATATTTTTGCGGATTATTACATCATTCTAGGGTCTTTTTTCTTCTAAGTCCGTGAATTTATTTTTCTCATTCTAACTCTCGATAAAACACTATGTAAAATTCACTATTTTTATCCATAACGTTAAATCTGTTAAAATTCTTCAACTTTTTAAGAAGAAAAATCTCAAGATGTTTATAATTGCCGAACATTGTTGATTTATTTCAAATGGAATAATCTATTAGGACATGTCTTTAATTTGTATTTAGATACATTGTACCTTTTTTCAATTTTTCTGGTTGAATTTTTCACCTATATTACATATGACCCATTATTGTACATAACTAGGTTACAATAAAATTTGTATTTTATATGAATACTACCCTATGAAAATTGAGATGAGTGGGGGAAACTTTTAGATTCGAGGGTTGCTGTATCATAGATTCGGGAGGCACAAGACCCTTTCATTGGCCCTTCTTTACAACAACGTTCGTCAGTTTCATAACTGGTTTTATGCTCATAGTTGTCGTACCATCGGTAAACTGAAAACTCGTAAAACGAGGAACACCTGTATTATTATGGTGTTCAGAAATTATTTCAAGGTTATGAACTCTGTGTCAACCAACGCAGAAGCAAAGGTTGAATGGTAGGAAACTATGCCAAGAATTAATTAATCATTTCTTCTATCTGACAGGGCGTAATTTTATGCTGCATTTCAGATTTTAATTGAGAAAACTTGCACAGGAACAGGGAATTTGAGTTCCTCATGAGATTTCCATTGAGAAAAAATGATTACATTTTTTTTTTTAATCATTTCACCCCATGTAAAGCAGAAGTGCCACTAGTAGACAGGGGGTTACAGAGAGTGAAAGTGAGAGAAAAGACTGTGTATAGAGGGATTGAAGAGGGGGTAAATGATGAACAGAGATCGAGTTGACAGAAGATGGCGGTTTAAATTTTTGAAGATTATAGTTATCAGGGAAACAAGTAAGACGAAGGGAGCTCTACTGTCGGAAAGTGCGAGAAAAGAAACTGATGGAGAATAAATGGCTGTTATATTTAACTATTTCAACAGTAAACAAGTGGGACCTAAATGCCAATCAAGTAACACGCTTAAATTCAAGTATTCGGGGCACCAGGAGGGAAAAAAGCTCGTCATAGCAGTTGCCATGAAAAAATATATAGCTAAGACAGAGGGAAGCCACGTCACGTCTGTGAAAAAGTCATTGAAATCGAGATGCCAAGTCAGGATTTTACTTTGGATTTTATCGAGAACCTCGCAATGAACAGCATGGGCACCGGACCAGATATAGCAACAATATTCAATGAACGGAGAAGTGGTAGATTTGATGTGTAAGAATCAATTACATTGCAGATTCTTCTTTGGATTCTTTCGAGAACCCCGAGAGGAACAGCAGGGGCACCAGATCATATATGGCAATAATGCACGGATGAATTGCAGTTTTGAGTTTTTATTTGAGATCTTAACACAACACTCGACCATCTGCTGCAGTCTTTTCACCAGAAATGCTTTTTTAATTGAATTGTTACATGTGATGAAAAGAGGTTTTGTATGTCAACAGAAAACGAAAAAAGAATACACTGAGTATAACAAAACTAGTACCAAAACCAAAATAAGGACTCCATCTACAGAAGTCCTTGCTTTGAATCTGGTGGGATATCAAAGATGTCGTCCATTACGATCCATTGGGACATGGAAGGACCATCACTACAGATGTTTATTACCATCAAGTTGGTCGGATAAACGAAACATTATGTCGGAAGTATCCTACTTTGGTAAAAAAAATTGTTATTCCACAGTATGACAATACAAAGGAATACCCAGCAAAAGAAAGCCTGAAAACTAAAATGGGTGATGGGTGATTCTTCCGCAGATTTTTTTTTTCGATCACTTGGATATTTCATAAGTGGCAGAATATTCAGAAACAAAACGCTAAAAACAGTCTCAATTTTTTTCTTAAAAGACAGAATTTTTCAAAAGCGGAATCGGAAATTTGCCTTTCTGTTTGGATGCAGTCGTTGAAAATGGAGTTGATTACATTTTTTATAAATTTTTAAATAAATTTAGCATATCCTTTTAGGTAAAATGTAATCACTTTCGGAACACACTTAAGCAATTATTCTAATTTGTCAGGACCCTCATAGACTTATTTTAAACCGCCAGATTTCTTACAGAATTGTCCTAAACCACCAGACACTTACAGAATTGTTCTCAGCCGCCAAGTCCCTTAGAGAATTATTCTAAGCCACCACATACGTACAGAATTGTTTTAGGAACTTGCTGAACTGTTCTATGTGT